TCCCCCCCCATCTCCTTGTCCACCTCCTTGTCTCCATCTCCTTGTCCATCTCCTTGTCCCTCCTTGTCCATCTCCTTGTCCATTTCCTTGTCTATTTCCTTGTCCATCTCTCTTGTTCATCCCCATCCCCATCTCCTTTTCTTCTTTCTTCCTCCTGTCCACCTCCCCCTCCCTTCTCCTGCACTACAACCACATCACCCCAGTCGTGGGCCTGCACCACCATCGAATCTACTGTACTGCCAGCCAGCTCCCCTTTCCACTCGTTGTCCGGCGTCAACTGTGGCCAAGGGTCGAGTCGAGTCGAGCCGAGTCGATTTGAAACGAGCTTTGCTTTGTAGCTTGCATGAGAGGGAGAGAGAGAGAGAGGGAGAGCACAGAGCAAAGCAGCAGTAACAGCAACAGCAACAGCAACAGCAGTAACAGCAACAGCAACAACATCAACATCAACAACAAGACAGCACAAGCATCTGCCCGTCATTAGATAGCTCCGGATCCCGATTCCATTCGATTGGAGTCAGAGCACCCAATCCATTCCACTCCGGCCACGCTCCTTACCTCCCTCCGTCCGAAGTCGAGTCCTCTCTTCGCGACACTCCCATACGCCAGCCGGTGTCCTATTGTTTGGTCTTGGCGCTTTGGGATTCTTCAATCCCATATCCAGGCCCCTTGCGGAACGTCAGATCCCGAGCGATTGAATCAATCTCGCCGCCTTCGGAACACCATACCCTACTCCCGAAACCCGAACCCGAACACATATCCCCAGCTTCAACCATGGCCCCATCTCTGCACAACCACTCCTCTTTCGTTCGTCCGCGGACGGGAGATCGCGAGACTCGTCCCGGAACGCGCGACCAGACCGACAATAATTTGATCATCCCAAGCCGAACCTCTTCCCTACACTCCCGCATCACTCAGCCCATTCCCTCGTCACTCGCCGTCAAGCCCCAGCAGAGGACGCCGAAGACCCTCACGCATGCCTACATGGTATGTGGTGTCGGGCGGGAGCCGTCGCAATGGGTCAAGGCACCTGCACCAGCACAGGGAAAGATAGGGCACATGAAGGGAGCGGTGGGCCAGTTCTGGCTGCCGGAGATCCTCGGGAGCAGCCCGAGATTGGAACAGGATAACGAGATCGCGAGAGTGCTCCACGCGGCCATGAGGGTAAGCTCGGCCCACCCCCCACGATTCACCTCCTGACCAATCCGTGTGTTGACGCATCCAGGCCTGTTTCCCGCACGATGTGGAAATCTGCACTGGACGCAACCAGCCGCACTGTGTGCACCACTCCTTTGTTCTCCAGCAGGATTCCTCCCACACGCTTTACGGTATCGCGCTCCGCGTGTGGTCGCGTGCTGATGACAAGCGAGCCGAGACCATTCGAGACCTCCGAAAGAGGACCGAACCGGATTTCTACGATTCCCCCGATGAGACGTACTGGATCCCGTACTGCCTCTCTTTTCTCTCCCGGTACCCGCTGTACAACCTCTTGGGGGACTACCTCCGTGGTATGTGGATCCACTGGAACAAGGCCACGAACCTCTTCCACGCCGAGGAGGTTTCTCGCATTCTCAGCTTCCCAGCCCCGAGGCTGAACGACCTGGTCCGCATCGATATGAAAGACTACGCACTATGCTACCAGTTTCCTTCCTCCCCCACTGGCTTCCAGAACTTCGCCATGTGGCCCCTCTTCTCCTGCTTGTCGGTGCCCAACATCGTTGGTGTGATCGAGGCTGCACTGTCCCCTACGCGCCGCATTGTGTTTGTCAGCCACTACCCAGCGATGCTCACCACGGCAGCGGAGACGATCCGATACTGCGTTCGTGTGTACGAGTGGAGCGGTCTGTACGTCCCAGTGGTACACGCCAGGCACGCGAAGGAGCTGGTCCAGGAACCCGGTCCCTACATCCTGGGCATCACCGCGGAGTGCAGGTCCCTCTTCACCGCACCCACCGATGCCTTGGTGGTTGATCTGGACCGCAACTTCGTGCTGACCTCGAGCCCCCCCACGGCGCTGACCGCTGGTCAGCGATCCAAGATGGTCAACCGGCTGACCCAGGCCCTGAATGGAGACGTCACGCCCTCTGGCGTACCGCAGCATCTCCGATCTGCCTACGGCGGCGGGAAGTTGGTTCCTGCTGGGCAGATCATTGTGATGCGCGGGGAGGTGGAATCCATCCAGGACCCTGACTGGTGGAACCAGGACGCGATCATGGCTGTGATGGACCACGTCTGCGAGAAGATGGTAAGTCAATCGGATCTCATGATCCAATCGGGGAGACGGGGCACACTGCTGATCATCGTTCCATACAGGGGCGCAACACCGGAATGAAGGCCGTCTTTGGGGGGGCCGTCAAGAAACCGCTCATGACCAAGGTGTCCATGAGGCACTTGAATGAGATTGTCCGTGAGAGGAACCAGTACTCCCGGGATGCTCTCGAGGCCTGGCAAGATTTTATCAACCTAAAAGGTCGTATGGATACCGAGCTTGGCAAGGTCACTAAGCGAAACAACTTTCTCGTCGAAGAGCTCGAGAGCTGGAAGCAGCAGGTATGTTGTCTCACTTGGTATCTGCCTCAATTTGCTAACAGCCCTAGTTCCTCAAATTCCAGGCGTTTGCGGAGCAACTTACCAAGGAGACTCAAGATCTCAAGGTCAAGATCGAAAATCACAAGCGCGAGAACAGACGCCTCTCTGGCCTCATTGACCAACAGAAGGATGACGCAGCCCGTCTCACCGCCCGTCTTTCTGGGACCGAGAAGCAGCGTGACGACGCTCTCGAAGCCTTGGTTCTTCAGCAAGAGATTGCCGAGGAGCTGGAGCGCGAGCGCAAGCGCAACAAGAAGGAGCTCAGTGCTCTACAACACACCAATGTCACCATTCTCCGTCAACGAGATGAGGCACAGCGTGTGGTTCTGCACCTCCGCGCCCTGATCAGTGGCCAGACACACCACATGGAGCACATCGTCCGAACGCTCGGCAAGAGTCCAGAGCTGGTCGAATACATCGAGCACGGTTTCGAGGAGGAGGAGGAGGCCGATCTCCGGGACATCGTTGAGGAAAGCAAGGTCGATGAAAGCGGCGAGCTGTCATCAGCGGAATCCCGATCTTCGTCGCGCGCCTACGGGAACGGCACCAGTGGTGACGACATGACGCCCGGAATGGAAGACCGTCTCCGCAAGGGTCTCCGAAACAGCAAGCGATACAGCCAGATGAGTATCGTAGATGTTGCCGATCGCCACCTGAAGGACAAGACCGATGCCATCGCCCACATTATCCGGAACATCAGCGAGCAATGCGCGGCGGCGGTTGAGGGTCTCCAACTCGCCCACGATGCCGAGGTCGAGGCTGAAGAGCTGGCGTTGAAGGAAGCTCGCGGTCAGCACCGTTCGAGTAACCTCTCCACCCTCTCAGCTAGCGACGACGGACACTCCAACGGAGGATCCGACACCGGCGAGGAAAGTAGCCGGCAACGGTCCTTTCTCCGGACGTCGAGTATCCCTCCAACCCCGGACCTCATCCACAACCGGTCCAGCACCTCTATGTCGATTGCAAGCACAGCGACCACCCCGGAACGGGGCAGCCAGCAATACACCATCGGAACGGACATCCCCACAAAGATTGTCGAGGATAGTGACGAGGAGCTTCGGGGAAGGAGCGGAGATGAGCGCAGTGGGTCCGAGTACGCAGGGAAGCCGAATATGATGCGCAGACCTGCTGGTGTCCGGTTGAGCGCTCTGGGTGGCCAGTAACGCGTGTCCCAGATTCGGTTCCAGTTCTTGACATGAGTGATTTTCAAGGGATGTTTCAGCATGTGTAACTTCATTTACAGAAAGGGGGGCGTCCGGGGCTGGTATTGCTTGTCTTGCGCGTACTTTTTTGCTTTTTGGTTCAGCTAGAGCCTTCCACTTCTTACTTTGGAGGATGGAGGACAGAGTGAGGATAGATGTACGAGGAGACGTAAGCAGGCGGGGAAGATGGGGTGGCTTCGCTTGTACCCGAGTCGACTTCACGCCAGAGTGTGGAAGAAGGATTTTTCTCCCCTGTTATTCTCGTTACTTGTTCCGCGTGGTAATACCCGGCGTGTATGTAGCAGCAGCAGTTAGAATACTGAGAATTGAAACCAACGATAGATTATAGTATATATGGGAGAAGGTTCCGGCTGCTTGACTTGTGTTGTCCTTTTGTCCTGTTCTTTCTACGGGGATGGATGGATGGATGGGATGCCTTTGACCTCGATCTGATCTGATCTGACCTGATCTGGTTTCTGGTTTTCTTTTATTTGATGTGATGCAATGTGATCTAATCTAATCTAATATAATGTAGATTAAACAAAGGAAGAGGAAATGAAAGGCGAGCGGGCGGAGTCTCTCTCTCTCTCTCTCT